TATGAACTCAACACACAGTCTGATTCACTCCATGAAATAAGCACCGATTTCTTTAATAATATAAGATTAATCATTGTATTATTAATGTGCTTGGAGCCAAGATAATCATAAACAGCAGAGTCACACCTAACATGATTGACCAAACTGTGGTAGACATTCAGAAAGACAACAGAGCCAACAATATTTGGTCTGGGTTTTTCCTTAGACTGGCAGCTGTCAAAATTTGCACAGAAATTCTGGGAAGTCAAAGGAGTTTTTTAACAAGCCAGAGACAAGTCTTGGGAGAAAAATTAAGACTCAGAGCAATCACTTCCAGAAATCTGGGTGTGACCTGCAAAGACCATGGAAAGGCCCCTCACAATGGCTCTGTTCCACACAACTGAAATTGGAGAAGGTGCAGATCGTGGTGTCATAGACTGCTGACAGTGGAAATGGCTGGCAGTGCTACTATTTTCCAAATGCTTGGGAGAGAAACTGGAAGAATAGTGCACTGTGACCCAGAGGAGGAGGAGAGTCCACCGCAGTAATGGCTGGTTTTACATGTCAACTTGGCTAGTCTATAGAGCCCAGTTATTCAATTAAACATTAATCTAGATGTTGCTGTGAAGGTATTTTTGCACATGTGGTTAACTTCTACAATTAGTTGACTATAAGTAAAAGAGATTATCCTCAGTAATGTGGGTGGGCCTTATCCAACAAGTTAAAGACTTTAAGAGCAAAATGGAGGTTTTCCTAAGAAAGAAGAAATTCTGTCTCAAGACTGTAGCATCAGCTCCTGCCTGAGATTTTCTAGACTGCCAGCCTACACTACAGATTTCAGACTTCCCAGGCCCCACAATCACATAAGCCAAATCCTAGAAATACATGTATATTTTCCTACTTGTTCTGTTTTTTCTGGACTCTGTTTCTCTTTCTATAACTGGAACAACTACTGAAGAAAAGACTGGAAGCTGGAAACTGGAACTCTCAGAAAAGAAGTCCCAGTAGAAAGATATCTAAAAACAAAATGAAAGCACGCCTCAGCTCATGTCAGAGCATAAGCAGAGAAATCTGAGGCAGCCAAAAGAAGCTTTCAAAACCTTCAAGGCAAAACAAAAACAAGAAAAACCCTTCAAAACAAAGGGAGGTCTTTGCAGACATGAGGAGAGCAGATGTGAGCATGGCCTCCAGCTAGCTGGGTTGAAACCCATTTTAGAGGTGCAAGATGGGACCTGTGACTTCCAGGGATGCCCTGGAATCTGGCCTTCCCATCCTGGGTATGTGATGAGGATAAAATAGAATCAAGAGGTACCTCAGTTTGCTTCTGTTGAGCTGCACCCCACAGGCCTGCAAGCCCTGTACTTGCCCCACCTCAAGACAGGAAGAAAGAGCTCAGAGTCAGCTACAGAGACATCAGTGGTTTAATGGATGGGGGATCTTACACATCTGAAGCCAGGTCCTGGAGTGACACCCCACCGTGTTCGGTACTTGGCAGTAGCCTTCGCTCCCAGGGGAAGAGGGAGGTTACCAGTTATATGGGGAATTGACATCGGGTTGGCTCATCGGTTACCAGGGAAACCAGCTGAGGAGCATACCCCTCACCACCCCTTTGATAAGCTATCTTGGTGGAGATGTTCTGATCTAAAGATTAGAACAATCAGTAGCTGGGGCCCCGGGTGAGTATGTAGGCATTTACTGATTTGGCTCTACAATTAAGAGGGAAGGTCAGTCCTGTAAGTAGGGTGTAGGTGAAAGCAGGCACTGGTAGAGCAGGGGATGTACAGAGAGCAGAGAACAGCCAGCTTGAGTGGCCTAATCATACAGCTTCATTTCCGAAAATTCAGGCGCAATTGTTCATGTTTCCAAACTCCTCTTTAGAACAGAAATCTCTTTTTCTTCTGATGGGGAGGGGATAGTCTGTAAGCTCGGATGGGAAAATAAATTTTTATTTTGACTAACTTCTTACTGAAATTTTGTATTTTCTTCCATTATGAATGTAGGCAACAAAGCACAGTATATTTCAGTCCTTTTGACTTTATCACTATTGGCAATCACAAATATTTTCACAGAAAATTACAGTTGTTGCAAGTTTCTTAAAATATTATTTATGCTCATTACTGCTTTGAAATTATAGTATTTATTAGAACTCCTGCTGGATGTTATCATTTGGTGCATTAATAAAGGAGCATAAATATTATATAAATTTTTAATAGTTTGATAACATATTTCAATATAATTGTTTTCCCCTTGAAATCTTATGTATTTATCTTTTTAATTTATATTTTAAAGTATTATTCTGTGATGGAGTCCATAACCACCAAAGTTCCTAGGGGTACATAATACCAAATCTGGTCAGAAGACCCCTATTTACTATCTAGGGAGAAATCCCTAACTAGATCTACCTTAATGTTTATGCAGAAACAGGAACATGTACATTTTTCTTAAGGGCTGTTGCAACCTTATGAACTGAAAACAAAGATTTTCTAAACACAATGTGTACATTCTCAATGTCAGGTAGTTTTACTCTGTTTAGTAGCCCTCAACTTAGTTCTTTTTGGGGGGCGTGAAGTAGAAATGAATAGCTTTATTGCTTTGCCAGGCAAAGGGGGCCACAGAGGGCTAATGCTCTCAAAACTGTGTGTCCCCAGCCCTCAACTTATTTACGATGCTCACCAGGCATGGAGATAATGATTCCTTCTCAGAAATATAGACGGGCTGAAAGGCACACATAAGAGATGCTTCCTGAGAAAGCAAACAAATGCTCCTTTTAAAGGTGTCAAATTCTGAAATGTATGTCCTGAGGTAGGAGCAGCATGTGGTGAGGGTGCTTAGCATAGAGTCTTGCTTAAGTAAATATTGGAAACAAAATGTTTTCAACGACCCAAGGAGAGACAAGAAAGAATGTCAGATATATTGTCACCCTACAACGGCTTCCAGTTTCCTACACAGTAACAGCCAAAGCCCATACAAGGGTGTACAAGGCCAGAGGTCATCTCCCGGAGGTCTCCTAGCCCTTTCCGCTCAGCACTGGCCTCTTTGACATTGCTGGAACATCCCATGCACGCTCCCACCTCCACGCCTTTGCCCTGGAGATTTCCCCAGTTCCAGGTCGCTCTTTTCCCTGATACCCGTATTTATTGTTCATAACCTTTCCTGCTGGGCTTTTCCATTCTCTTTCCCGTTTGTCTTTTTTCCTCTAAGTGCTTATCACCATTATTTTATTTATTTACTGCTTTATTATCGTCTTCGCTACGTCCATGCAATCTTCTTGAGAGCAAGGATCACCTGTTTTCTTCACAGTTGTATTTCCGGTGCCATATTGGTTGAATGAATGAATGCATGAACGAAGAGATGGTACTGGGGCAGAGAATGCCAGGGTCTGTACAGACAGACTGAGAAAGCAGCAAAGACGCTAGGGCCCGTGCAGGCGAACTGGCCGCCTGGGGAGTCCACGCGCTGCAGTCTGAGTTAGCCAGGAGGACGGGGCTTTCAGGGCCAGGCGCAGACCCCACAAGGTGGACCGGTTGCCGCCGCCTGGTTTCTGATGAAGGCATACCCGCCTGCTAATCGCGCAGGTGCAGGGCCAGTGGCGCAATGGATAACGCGTCTGACTACGGATCAGAAGATTCCAGGTTCGACTCCTGGCTGGCTCGGAGTACACATCACCGTTTTACTTCTTTCCTCTGCCGACCACTGAGGAACCCAATGGAGTTAGAAAATCCATTACAAGGTGAAGTTTGCCTGGAAGTCTCAGGAGCGAGAAGGCCCCGCTTTTGACCACAGCCAGGGTCATCATTCCTTTGAAGAGTAAATTCCGCGTCCGGCCATGCGGTGGCGCTAGCCAAAGCCAGACTGAGAAATGTGCGTGGGCCCCGTGTCACGCCCAGCCCCACCAACTCATTCCTGCTGGAGGATGGGTTTGAGGTAACCTGGTAAGCAGTGAGGAAGAAATTAAGATCCAGAAGTTCAGATTGAGAAGTAATAGTGAAGGGATTGAAGTCTCTTTTGTTCTCCCCCATCCGGTCATTTCCAGAATAAATTATTAAGAATTTCGCTTCAGATCTGTACGCTGCAGGGGCTTGGTTTGCGCATCTAATTGGCCTCTCTGATTTGGGAGAGTGGTACAAGACGCACGCGCATATTAACCACGCACATTTGCTGGGACGAAGCGGCGGGGGGCGGGCGGGCGGGGCGGGTGGGAGGAAATGAGGAAGTGGGAGGGAGGGTGGGAAGGAGGGAGGGGCGTGCTCTGTCGGGAGAACTATCAGCAGGGGTGAATAATTTCCACCGAGTTTCCGTAGTGTAGTGGTTATCACGTTCGCCTCACACGCGAAAGGTCCCCGGTTCGAAACCGGGCGGAAACAGCGTTGTTATATTTTTTTTCCCCCCCCACCTGTGTGGATCTCCTTTAAAACTCCATTTATTTAAAAACTCTTCACGCCTCCTTTTCTTGTCTCTCTTGCCCCAGGCTGTGGTGCTGAACCGACGCTGCTCAAGGTGGGTCCGGAGCCCGCGGCCCCGGAGGCGGACACAAGCATCGCGAGGGGGAGAACCGGGCTGTCCCCGGCTCTGCAAGGCGGCCCGACGCCCGCAGCCCCGGAAGCGCATCCTCGCCTTGCCTTCCTGTTCCCGGCAGCGCCCGGCTCCGGGCGTCTCTTCGCTGGCCCACTGTCCGCGCCGGCCCTGCCCCAGCCGAGAGCACCTGCGCGGCAGGCCCGCAGCTGGCAGCCTCGCGCCCTTCACACGGTCGCGAGACTCGGGTGAGTACCTTGGGGGCCTTAGCGTGCGTCTCCGGAAAATGGGGGTAGTCCCGCCGCCCTCCATAGATTTGGGACCCTCCTGCAATCTGGCCCTCGTCGTGATTAGGTGACCTCGGGCCCCCGACATTTCCACCTTGCTTTCCACTCTCCAGAACAACTGCAGTGGCTCTCCTGGGCTTCGAGTGTGAATCTCCGGGAAAAGCGGAAGCCGGGAGGTGAAGATCGCAGGCCCTTCTGGGATAAGTCCCCACAGAGACTCTAGCGCAGAAAAAAGGGAGGCGAGGAGGGGATTTGAAAGCTTTGGGCCAGCAGGGCCGTGGCCTGGAAGAGGTCGTGGCGGGTGGGCTGGGCTGCCCTGGCCTGGGTTCTTTCTCGCCTCCCCTCCCCAGCTTACGAGGTGCCCCCTCCCGAGGGGACACCGAAGGGCCGAGTCTTCCTCCGCTTTGGCCTTCTGCTCTTCCTGTCAAAAAGAAAAAAAAGATCCCAAAGTTAAGAAACGGGGCAACTGTGGATTTTGCGTATTGCCTTGAAGCAGTTAAGAAACGGGGCAACTGTGGATTTGCGTATTGCCTTGAAGCAGTTAAGAAACGGGGCAACTGTGGATTTGCGTATTGCCTTAAAGCTCGAGAAAGGTCACCGGCAGCACTTGCTTAAAATCAGGACTTGTGCCCTGGTGTCTGGCCTCTTACCGCTGTTTCTGACATGGCCTGCTTCCATGTTAATTGGATCTATCAAATGCTTTTCTGGGAAAGAACTCTTGATATAACACCAAACAGCCTCAGGTATATTCTCAGGATCTTCTTCTTAGATGTATTATTATTATTATTATTATTATTACTGTTTCTAAGAGTTAGCCAAGGCCTAGTCTCTCAGATCGCATTGCTCCAGATTCCCTCAAATGACTGACAGGAATGTGATGTTTTTATGGCCATAAGACAAGAATAAACTGTTTACTCTTCCTCTCTCCCTCCCTCCCTTCCTTTCTTTTTTTTTTTTACAGGCAACTTGTATAGGCATCCCTTCCCCAGCCCTATTATTCCTCCATTTTCATACCTTCTCTGAAACACCCATGCTCTTATCATCTTGTAGTTTCCCTTGTTAGCAAGACAATAAGTTTGGCAGGTGCTCAGTGCAAATTTGTCTAATACATTTTCATTTAAAATTCCCTCTATACGGAGACGCAAGAGGGAGGAGATATGGAGACATATGTATATGTCTAGCTGATTCACTTTGTTATAAAGCAGAAACTAACACACCATTGTAAAGCAATTATACTCCAATAAAGATGTTTAAAAAATTTTTTAAATAATAAAATTCCCTCTATACCACTCAGAAATACAGGTGAGTTAATGTGGTGCCCTGCGAGGAGCAAGGGTCTTGGGCCTAGGAGGTGATGGGGATTTGTCCTCTCCATCTTTCTATGATGCCAAGGGACAGGAATACTTTAGCTGGGAAGCTGAGTGTGCCCCACGCCAACCTGTTGCAGATGGGTGACTGTTTGAAGCTTATGGCTCTCTCCTTCTCTTTAAACCAGGTGCGTTCTGACAAGATGAAGCAGCAGTCCTACCATTTTAGACACTCTGCCCTTTCTCACCTTCTCCCACTATCCCCCCCGCCCCGCCGCCCCC